AATGATGCTTGAATTTAAAGATTGAGCATTTTTCTTTGCCTTTTATAATCGTTCTGACCGTCGATTCCGGTAGATCAAACTTCTTTGCCAATTCACAAATTTTCATTTTTGTATCGAACTCTTTAATAATGTTAACTTTACATTCCAAAGATAAAGTGTTTCTTTTCTTGTTTGATGCGGAAGAATCAGTTGTACTTCGTTTGGATGGCATAGTAAAGTGTTAAGATTAATCATATTCGTTATTCGTTATTGTAAACCGCGCTTAAGTTAGGCGCCATCTGTTCATTTCTTTTGTATGTCCAACGATCAGAAGACCGTTTGGGATCGAGTCTGTTTATAATTTGAAAGGTAATCCTGACAGTTGTTTATACAAAAGGTAAATTGTTTACAAAATGAGTCTTTGTTTATTATTTGATAAATGTATACTTTTTTCGTCAATTGTTCATGATTGCAGATGCCTTTTGTGTAAAATCCAAGTGGATGTATGTAAGCTAATAAATCTTCTCGTTAATCTTATCTCGCCTTTTGGTTCGTTCACGGTTACAAGAAATCACCACATAGATTCTCTCGAGTCTCCGTAGATATAACAAACAGAAATAAATTTCACAAAATAAATTGTAGCTATGCGTCGATTCTGCGCGACACGTCCGAACATGTAAGCCGAACAATAGTGTGGGGGAGAGAATAATCGAGAGTTGCATGGCGCTCAAACAAAAGACGAATCGACGAGATTTGAAAATCACGTAACTCCGGGTTCGCGTAAGTCGGGGTAGCGTAAGTCGGGGTATGACTGTATATTAAATTATTTAACAAATAATTTAATGATCTGTTATATCAAATTTAATAAATTGCAGTTAATGGCATTATAAGACGAGTGGTAAACAATTGACTTTATTTGCGTAAAAAGTCACCCTAATTTGCATTACAAGAATTTAACATATTCAGTCATTTACAGAATTAATTTTTGTAGCTAAAAATGTATAACTTAACAACTTTCTATATTAACTCAGGAATAATACATATAATGAAGCAAATTTTAATACACAACTTACCTGAGCATCAAATACTTTTCCTGTTCTACAAGGATTCATAGCATCACAAAGCACAAATCCTGAAGAAACTTCCTATAAAAATAAAATTCAATAATTTTAATCTTTTTAAAATATAATAAAGATATTTTTATATTAGAATTAATGGCAATTTTATGATTAATTCATTCTATATGTACAAAAACAATTGTCGCCTTGTATATGGCCTGTTTTGCAAATCTCTGCTGGGCATTTAGCAGAGTAGCAGGAACCGATCTACTTATGTAGTGAAGGAAGCCAACTGTTGACAAATCTATGACAAAGTCAATGCACATTAACAAAACAGGGCTCTTGAACTTTTAAAAAACTTTCAGAACCCCGAGTACCACACATCACCCAGCCCTCGTATGTGAAATGATCTGTTCTATTTATAATTACATTCCAAGATTACACAAATTAAAAACGAATTTAACACATTTTAGTATAAAAAGAGTTCTTCTCAACAAGCTACATTAGTATCTTAAGTCGTCTCAAATTACCTTATTTTTCAGCAACTACTTAACTTCAAAGAATAACAAGAATCTATTTGAAATTAATTAGGAAAATGAAGAATCACAATTTTAGTTCAAAATATTGCACTTGGCTAAATAAAAATTAATTATTAATACAGACTGAGAATTTGCATCTTTAGACACACAGAATTTTGTCAATGGATGTTCCATTATAATCTTATGGCATCTCCATACATTAAGTGGCACTTAGCCATATCTAAAATAACAAGATTGGTTGAAAACAATTTCATTAGCATTTTCAAATACAAATCTCATCTTCAGATGATTCATCAAATAAAACATCTCTTAAAAACTGAGCAAATTCTAACATTTTTAACATCGAACTTGAGAAATTCTTAAAGATATTGTCCTTGATGAGTAATCCAAAAACAGAATTTGTTCTCGAACATATTGAAAGAAGTTAACTGAAAAGAATTTCATATTTTATGGAGTCTTTTTGAATTAAATTTTATAAGAAGTCCTCCAATTCTGACTTCAGACATATTCTTCGTGTCTTTCACTGTTACAGATACACAATCAACTCTCAACAAATTTGTTGTTAATTATTCATTCATTCATTACATCTGCTATAACATAAATTAACCAAGTACAGCAGTAATCAAACTAAATATTTTAATACTATTAGAATACACTCGCTTCCTTAACTCAAACTTTATAGCAGTGAAATCAAGCAAAAGTACATTCAATGCATTTTGTGCTTCTACAAGACAAAGTAGTTTCAAGGTCACATTTCGCTAACTCAAAATTTAAGCTCTGAGATTAATTTCATGTCTAATTTGTTTTGCATTCTTACTTTTGTGTTTTCAAGGGTATACAACAATACAAACTTGAAGACTGTTACTAGATAGAGTTGTCTCTGGATGATGTAAGATTCAAAATTTTAATGACATATTACAGCTAATAATTTTATTCTTAAACTGCAAATCTATCAATCAAATTTCAGCAATTCAAATCCTTTAGATTTTGAATATTTTGATTTTTAAAATTTAAAATATGTAATAAACACACCTGTGATTTGACGTGTTGCTCAATTTTTTGACTAATAAATCAGTTTGTCTGTATGTATCACTTGTTCAGAACTAAACGTTGCAGTGAAGTTTATACAGCATAAAAGTTTGAATTACATGCAAATAGTGACTAGTTAGACAGTGTACTGACCATTTTACTTCCAAAGTATATGGAAATGGCAACAAAGAAACTACAGATTTTGTCATTAGTACAAAACCCACTGTAACCATAGAGGGAAGCAAAAACAAAAACTTGGATGTTCTGCTGAGTACTCTCCCTACATATTTCAAAAACAAAGAATTAGTAACCAGATCAAGTAGCTCATCAAAACATTATTTTTTTCTTCTTCAATGAGATGTGAAATTGAGTTAAACTGAAACGAACAAACCTACAAGTTATTGTTTTATATGATGCTTATTGCACGTTATAATATTAAATTTAATGCTTAATTATTGTACTGTGAATTGGTGAGTGCACCAAAGTTTTTCCACACACTTGTTCTGGCTGTCAGAAGTGCAGAGGTCCTAAGTAAGGAACTGACCATACACAAAATTTGGATATCATCAGTAGTATTTTTCCCAATCTTGCAATAATTTATTATTTATATACTTACAAAAATATATTATTAAACTTCATAAGAAATAATGCAATAATCTTACTTCTTCTTCTACTCCTTTTAACTTTATCTTGACATTTTCACCAGATGTCACCGACAAAACTTCATCTTCGTCAGACCATAGTTGTAAAACTTCCACAGGTTTCTACAGAACAAAAGTTATATTATATGTGCATGTATATTTAAATTAAATTGAGATATACTATTTACTTATTTAAAACAGAGAAATTCTTAATATTAAATAAGTGAAACTGAAGTTTTTACTGGCGTAATCTTTTTTTCTTAGCCTATAGTAATCAGTAATTGTTTGCCATTCCTGTAATCATCATCAAACCAAACAGTAGATTAAATTACATCTTAAATACAGGCCAATACATTTTTAATTCAATATTTATACATAGTTATATTATGATAAATGAGAAAAAACAAATTTATTCTGTAGCTATCTAATATAATACACATCATGGATGTTGATACATTTTACATATATATTTACTTATAAATCAGCCTAATAATTTCTGTAATTTAGAAAATCTTATAGGAATGATGTTCAGAATTAAAAATCAAATATTAGTAGTTTAACTTTTGGTCTAGAACTTTGACTTATTACTATAGTAAATACAACATAATATGGACTGAAAATAGGGGCAGTTTGACTGTAATTTGTACTAAATTCGATAATTACATTAATCTTAAACTAGTAATATCAAATTTTTTAGATGATGATGTACACCCAAACTGACTATCTTGTCCAAATCATTTATTTATTACATTAATTATCCAAGTTCTATTCCCAAAGTTAATCCAAGAATTATTATAATAATTCAAGCTCAGTTGTTTTTATGTATTTAGATTCAAGACTAGAGACATAGAGCAAAGGAAAAGCAGCATGATGCCTATGCTCCAGGCTTAACTAGTTTTGGTTTTATGTGTTTGACAACACAATACTTTGGAAATCTGTCGAAGGGTTATGCCTCCCAGAAGGACTTAGCCATTCTCATTAGTTTATTACAGTAACATTGTAAGTACTTTGATAAAATTTCTAAAAAAGTCACATGGCACTCAAGAAATTATGCAATTCCAATGCCCTAAACGGCACTAACTTTGATTACAAGTAAACAACGAATCCACTGTTGATTAATGTAGTTTTAGTTTACTAAAACTAAATGCAGGAAAATGACTAAAACAACATTAATGTTGATTCAGAAGAGCCTAATGTGGCAACTGAAGTTTCCGATTTCAAAACCACAAACAACAATTCATGTAACTTACTTAACTTACTTTAACTTTCACTTTACTTGTAACAAATACAGAACATTTCTGTTGGCATAAATTTGTCTCTAGTTGTCTATTTAAAAACAAAATCCACAGGTCAGCTCTTAGACATTAAGGTGCAACATAGATTCAAGTAAATATGGTAATGTAATATAAACATAATAAATTTTTAGTGCCTGCAAACAATATCTATCCCCAAGCATTCCAAATTTGTTTTAAACCAGGTCTTAGACAGAGATGTAAGCTTATTTAATATAGAAACTGCAGCTTTAAATTAATTATTAATGATAATATGTCAAAAACAGACTGTGCAAATCTGAAGTACAAATTTCCTTTCTATAGTTTCAGTAAGTGAAAACAACAGAACAAACATATTTTAATTAGTTCTTGTGAAAAATATTTAATCAGTTCATTCAATACAAGAACACAAAATGGATACTTACTCTATTTGGCATTAAAAGTAATTGATGTCCTCTCTTTACGCTGCCGGATTCTACTTTTCCTAACACGACGGTTCCCATATCCTGAAAACAAATATACCTTCAGAAAACAGAATTTTATAACAAGTAGAATTATTATTATTATCCATTACAATGACAAGAGGACTTGCATATCACAAAATACTCTTATATACTCTTGTATATGATAAGAAGTTAAATACTTTTCTCACATACAATGAGAAAAATACTTAACTTACCATATAATGTATCTATGTAAAAATAAGGATATGAAACAATACACTAAGGCTAACGCATACAGGTAGATTTAATTAAATGACTTTAATATAAAGCAAGTGTCATAATTAATTCTTTCTGATTGGAGAAATACATAAAACACAGCTCAATGTGAATATTAAAGACAATCCACCTTGAAATATCATTTAATGTGCAGAAGAGCTAGAATGAACTAATTTATCCTAAAACCTGTTAAAAACACTTTATTAACATACTGACTAATAGTCAGTGCTTTTAAGGAAGTGTTTCCAATCAATCATAAATTGTGAGCAAGTAATGTCTTTTTATTTATTTTTTGGTTTATTATTATTTGAAGAATATTTAAAATAAACTAATTTACGATATCTGCATGGGAAAATTAAATTTCCAAATCTCACAATTATTCACAATTCCATTAAAATCTTAAGTTTATATTAGGTTTAAGTTCTCTGAAAATATTTTGATCGGCATTGCCCATTATTTCTCTTTATACGAGAGAAATTGCAACAAAAATCTCTCAAAGACAGAAGTCGTACATACATAATTACTAAATAAGGAGAGTTTGACAAACATTTCTATCACACTAACCCATGATCGTAATTAATCGTTAATGTTTATCTACATTAAGTTTGATTACGAAAAGATAGTTTTGGGATACATTTCAAAGCATTTACCAGGATTTAAAATGAAAAACATACCTTATATTTATCCACAACTGGCATTCTAAAAGGTCCTTCTATTGATCTATTGAGAGAAGGAAGACTGTCTATGTATGATAAGAAGCTTGGTCCTCTATATAAATACAAAAATATTAATTATAAAACTATTCCGTTGTTTTTTGTTGTAAAAAAATATATTGCTAATAAATAAATGTGATATAAGAACATTTCTTTATGAAGTATAACTTACCTATACCATGGACACACATTTTCATCTTCTAAGTCTCTAAGAAAAGCACCTGTCAATCCAGAGCATGGCATGAAAGCTAAATCTGTTTTTGGATTGAAGCCACATTTTTTTAGATATGGAATGAGTTTTTCTTTACATTCATTGTATCTGTAGTTAGATAGATAATACCACCAGTTATTATTAAATTACATATGTAATTATTTTAAATTATATTCTATTATTATNAGAAGCGACATAAAACGAAACGATAAGCAAAGTGTACTCAAGAGGTTAAGTTTGCAAAAACGGCATCTTAAAATAAAAAAAAAAAGTACATTTATATATAATATATATATATATATCTTTTTCCCCTTTTCTTTCTTTTAAGATTCGTCAGCTTTATTTTCATTCATGTGATTAACACTTAATTGAAAACATCTCAATAAAAGTAGTATCACATTAATATAATGTTAAGCATGTTTTGAAAATAATACAAAACTTATGCGTGTGTATTTGACAGTTACATTTTTCTAACGTTCCGATAAAATCCATCCACGGTTAGTGAGTGCGCTGCATGAATTCCAACAGGAAATATAAAATATGCGGCCAAAAGAACGGGAGCGGGTTTCGTTTTCCTCCAAGTAAATTTGCGCCAATCGGTTTTTAGTGGGCATATAAAAAACAACATTTATAAATAAAAAGATAAGCTAAATCTTTCGAATATTATGTAATGGTAAAACAACTAGTTTTCTCTTTGTTTTTTTTAAATTCATTTTTCAAACTTTTAACCATCTAACTACATATAATCGTATCGTATCCTTTTATTAATATGATTTTTTTCCCCCTTTTCTTAAAAAAATTAGTTCTGAAGCCAAGTTTTTTTTTCCTGTATCAGTTTTGTAAAAGGTGCTTTTGATGCAATCATTAGTTTTCTAATTATGCAAGACATGCAGACATTCTAACATTCATTTTATCAGGGTACTTTTGCTTTTTCTGCTTGCCTTATGTGACCACTTGACTACACGGTTTCATGTCATAACAATATTTAACTGTATTGATTTTTTTTTTTATATAAAGAAAAACTCCACCCTTAGTTTTTGGTAGTTACACCAAACAACGTTTCTCGAACCATACAAAATCTTTTTTTTTTCCTGCACATAATAAACCCTGGATGGAAAAAGTCTGAGCTTGTGATATTGGCCAATCGAGTGTCTTCGTCAAAATCAGCTGTCAAATTTTCTTTTCCATTTAGACGGGAATCCGATAGTTTGAATTTGGAATTATTCCACCATCCGAAGAACTTTGCCGATTGCAATTGTCTTACCTGCAATGTTAATTCAAATATTAGAAAAAATACTGTTACTTACAAAAGAATGGTAAAGTATTCTGTACGAAAAAGTATTATGTGCCTTCGTCTCTGAGTGTGAAGCGTCCCATCTGAGGGAATTCTTTGAAAGGTTCCAAACAAATCACGCCGGCGCATTCCATTCTCATGATTGCAATCTGGTCCTGCTTGACAAACCTCGGCCGTGTTTTGCTCTTCTCACCCGTTTTCTTATCGATTAAACAAATCAATGCCTGCAATAAAGTATCGACGGATTAAAAACAACCAACATTAGCATAAATCAAAATTTAAATCCGCACGTATGGATATAATCAAAAATATATACTATACACATTTCATTATAAAAAAACAGCCCTGATTAACCAAGATTCCACATTATTTGATGTGTACTACTGCTATTATAATTCATAAAAGCTTTGTGAATGTATAAAGTGAGCAGTAAGACAGCTGGTTACTGTAGGAATGTAGGCTTGACTCACTAACCCCTCTCCAACTGCACTTATGCTGTCTATTTGGTTATTGTCATCAGCATTGTTTTCACCAATATGCCAGTTTCCATTATAATTAAAATAATAAATAATTATGTAATGGTATTGTTTGTTAATTGAGAAATTCAAAGAATTGATTGACAGCAATAAAGGATTTAGAATTGTGTTATTGCTAATTTCTAACTTTAAGTTAATAACAATTTACTGAAAATATATCTTTTCACACACTTCCAGTACAAAGTTTTATACTGTTCGAGCCAATATGCAAGTGAGCCCAAGGTGTCTGAAATGAAGCAAGGCAGTTAAGACGGTTATTCGACATACAAAAACTTGGAATCTTAGAATCTTGGGAAATATTTAACAACTCATAAAGGAAGGAATTCAACACACTATGAAATGAATGGAGGGAATTCGTCCATAGCCCAACAATAAATAGTCGGATCTGAGTCAATTACTATTCTTATTTAACACACATTAATTTTATGATCTTTTTGTTAAATGTTTATATGTATTTGCTATTACTTGGTTAGTTTATTATTTATATCATTTGGTGATCATGCCAGCTTAAAACAAGCACCATAAATCATTTAAAATTGATACATCTATAGAATAAAAATGGAAAGAACATTCCAAAATTAAAGTTCTTGGCAATTGTTCGTAAAACGACAAGTGTAAGCTGAAGTAGACTCTGAAAAAGTCCAAAAACATTTGTAATTGTGAAACTTTGTGATGCAAGTGTGTGAAAGGTGTATTTTACTTATTCTACATGTATTCTGATAATATTAATAACAATTTAATTAATCAATAGGTTTAGCCCTCATTTCTGATAATACTCCTTATTTACCATTTAAACAATCTTCCCCCTTAATCCAGAAAAATAAAATTGATTTAGATTAAAAAAATCGTTAACAAATGCAAGCTTAGAAGAAATTAACACTTACTTTGACAGATACTTCTTCTATAGAAGCATGTATGTGTAGAACAGCACTGTAGCCAGGGCAAATGATTGATTTGTGTTCTAAAATAACCACCTATAAAAAAAGATAACAATTAAAAAAAATCCATTTTGATTTATTACTATCAATACAGTCATACCCTGGACTTACGCGATAGGTGGGACCGAGCGATAACCGCGTAAGTCAAATTCGCGTAAGTCGGGGTATAATTTTGCATATAAATACATACAAATTATTTTTAATTGGGGCCGGAGACTAAAGAAAACAATAATTTAGAAAAAAATGTTTAATAAAATCTTAGATAATACATATGTATAACAAAATATATTATTATACAATTTTTCTCATTTACTTGATTATCACACCATAATTTTAACATTGTTTCCATCTCAACGATAATACCGTGACGTTTACGAATTATGCTTGAATTTAAAGATTGAGCATTTTTCACAGCTTTGAGAATTTTTTCTTTACCTTTTATAATTGTTCT